GAGCAGTTCGTTAGTCAACATATTAAAATTAAAGTCTTAAGGGCTTATACAGCTCTTCAAAGCTTGCTAATCTTAAAGCTTTCAAACTATCTTTAAGCTTTAAAAAAGCTAGTTAAAGTTTACTGAAGGATCATGATATTGCAAAATGAATTGAATATTAAAATGCTCTTTTATTTTCTGTCTATTAATTGCATTAATTGATACTGGAATCAATGGAAATCTTTTTAACTTATTCGATGACGTTTAAGTGAATGTTTTTAAGCTATTTAAAACGGAAAACATGAAAATTCACTCTGTGAGTCTGCTTTACCGTCATACTTTGCCCCAAATCAGGTTTTTATGTTTATCGAATGACAAATAAATACTGCCAACAACTCAATGTCAGCACATCGACTGATTGCTCAAGCATATCCAATGTTTGCGCAATCATGCGAAAAAAAGAAGACACAGACACTAACATTTCTTCATGATTAAACCGATGGATTGTCCTTCGGCAGCTACTCCTGCTACTGCTGCTGCTTCACTCATACCAATTATCATTTGTCTGGCACCTGGCCAAATGTCGCAGGAGCCAAAACAAAAAGCATTGTCCACTGTCAAAATCAAAGTACTGAAAGTATTGAGGTAGACGAAGCACGTCCACCTGTCGGTCAATGTGCGCCCATTTGTCCCGTACCTCAGCCAAATAGTACAAGATACGACTACAAGAGACTCGGAAAAAAAAAACTAACTTTTACGAATAGGGACAATGACTACAACTTGGCATGCACATCAGACACACACAGAGCACAAGCACACACACACACACAAATACAGACAGCAGACATGACAGCATGAGTAAGCAACTATTTCATTGCCTGCTTTTTGGCGCTATGTCCGATGATTTGACAAGCACATTTGACAGGCTACAACATGTCGCATTGTAGTTGTTCACACTTCATAATTACATTCACATTAGCACATTTCACGAATAATCAATACGAATTTCCTGAGAAAATGAGTGCAAATTAAAACTAATTAACTAAACTGGGTTTCGGATTCTAAAATATAAAAAAAAATATATATTTGCCAAGTCTTGGTAAATTCATAAATGCAGCTATGAGAGGAGATTCTATTTAAAAATGTTTTTCTAATTAAAAACGCCAACTACTTCGAAAAGAAAAATACAATTTTTAAAGGCTAAGATGCCCAGGACTATTAATTTCCAATTCAAGCTTAGAAAATAAACAGAAATTCGTGATATGTTCTGTTTATTTACCATGCAATAACACATCTAATTTACTGCCAATGCAAAAAAATAAAACCAAAAACTGGCAGCAAAAAGAAGAAGAAACTACGCCTAGACACCCCTCGACAAGATGTACTTCTAGAGCTAGACAGATAAATCAGGCAATCCAACAAAATAGCCATCAGAATTGGAGTTACCTTCGTTTTTTTTTTTTTTTTGGTTGAATGATGCATTTTTAATGTCAGCAGCAGCCGAAAAAGATTTGGAAAGAAAACAAGCAATGAAAAAAAAATAAAAGAAAATCTTGCTGTTTGAATTTTATTGGCGAAATTGATAAAGTGGCTGTAGGAAAATCGAAAGGAATTGCAAATGCAAGTCCATCGATCGATGAGCGAGCGCGGCGCAGGGCAGCCAAGCAATCAACGTGCACAAGTACAAGGATTTTAAGATTTACATTTTCGACATCTTCTTATACATTTGCCCTTTTTATTTTTACATTTTCCATTTGAGTCCGTGCCTTGTGTTTGGCATGCATAAAAATATGAGCAATTGCTGCTCGAAGGGGCCAGAGCGCAGGGCGGCAGCTGCGACTATTTCGACTGCGCAGATAAATTTACCTCTGTTGAAAATCAATTCTCATTTGCAATACAGTTACAGCAAGTTATGCGGCAACATTAAGTTCTTATAAATGGTAGCTCCATTAAATAGACAAACAATTAAATGCACTCAATTAGCTGAAAAACAATCAAATTGTAGGCATCTGATTTAATAACTGGCAAATATGCTTCAATGAATATTTAATATATATATATATCAGTTTTAGACTTTAAGCCCAGCTAATTGTAATTATAATTTTTCTTTGGATTCGAAGCTTGTCAATCATGATGTACACACGCATCGAGTACAGCAATAAGCTGCAGCTTTTAGTATTCGAATTGACGAGCCAAAAGAAAAGCAACTTGATTGAAAGCTGAAGCGAAGAGAAGAACAAAGCGCTTTGCATAGAGATTTGTGTGAAATAACCAGAGATTCAACATAAAAGTACACTGAAAAGCGAAAAGTCATTGATGTATGATGTTGCCAATTGTTTGAAGTAAATCAAACGGCTCTGAGCCGGGCCTGTCCAGACCCGGCCCGGCCAGCCCAAGCCAGGCTGGATACAGGATAAGCAAGTGCTGGCAGCAAAAGGCACAGACTGTGGTTGCCCCCAAAAAGCTGGTGATTGGTGCGGCCGGCTGCCCGACTCTTGGAGGTATTAGTGCTCATCCTGCTGCTCCTGCTGCCGGTCTTTGGCCAATGTAAACAAAGCGCACTGAAAAATGGCCAGAAATAAAGCAGACTGTGTGCCGTTTAGAAGGATGCGCCCCTGTCCCAGTGCTGACAGCTGCTTTGGGGGGCAGCTGTCATTTATATTTCAGTGCCATTCGAGTTATTCAATCAGCCCGTTTATCGGGCCAACAGACAAACGGACAGAGCAGCTCCTTTGCTGTGGTCAGCTCCTCTGGCCAGCACAGGCAAATGGCCAAAAATTAGTGCACACATAAATCAAACTAAACTGCAAGGACTTGCTTTCCTTTACTATATTCAGTTGCCGCCTTATCGTGCATACTATATGCAATAGATAGCACGCTATCAGACCTTGTTAATGATGCAAATTATTGTACAACTTAATGCGAATTTATGGCTGCAGTCGTTACGTTTTACCAAATTAACCTGCATATTTTACAGCTCATTTAAAATGGGACCGCAAAACGTTTCGACACTGAATAATTTATGGTAATACCAATCACAGACGCAATACAAAATGAATTATACCTTACGGCCACACACACACACACACACACACACACACGGACACACATAAACACACATAATAGGTGTGAACACATTAGCATACAAATCGGCCAACTTAAAAGATACTTAAGTCCACATTGGGCATTCCTAAAGCATTTGTTTCACATAAATAATGCATAGGTAATAAATTTTCATAAATAAAATTGTTTTTCAGCAAAAGGGTTGCTGAATCTACAGAAATGCAATTTTGGCGTCTGTCTTGCGAGAATTTAAATTTATATTTAGTAATAATAAATAGTACTTGAAAGACTTTTCCCAATAAATTATAAAACAACTTAATGTCATTTTCGAAAATTTCTACAATAGGCTAATTGGATATAAAATACTATGAAACTTACATAAGATAAGAAATTTAGAAAAAAAAAATAAAGCTAGAATGATAATATAATATTTGTTTGGCTGGCTCGATGATGGAATGGAAGGTGGAAAGGTCGCCAAAGCGATTATAAAAATAACATTATTTTGAAAATGTTAAAAAAAAAACTCGAGTCAAGTGAGTTGTTTATGAACTTAACTTAATAGGTCTATAGTTTCCCTAATAGGTGTAAAATGGAACTTAATTTTCTAGTTTTTTTTTTGTTGTTATTATTATAAGGCACAAACATGCTTTGGGCATGGCATTAAGCAGTCAAATGATTTACTAACTTTATATATCTACATTCATATATACATATACTATGTGCACATAAGTATATATATAACTCTATGAATAAAATGTGCCGTTTAAGAGCCCCAAGAGATCTAGTTTGTAAAATGCTGAAGAATATATTTTTCTTTTTTTGCATTTTCGAAATTAGCACAATTTGGCAAGCTGCAAACTTTGCGAAAATAACTGGGACAAAAACAGAAAAAAGTTAATTAAAACAAAAACTGGTGGCAGCGCGGGGAGGGGGCGGGGGGGTGTTGGCAGTGCCAGTGTTGCCACAACATTAGCAGCCAAAAATGCAGCCAAAAATCTGGCGCTCGAAATTTCCCCACCTAGAACAAAATTAATTTTTCGAGCCAAGCCAGAGTTTGTTTTTAATTTTATTTTTTTTCTTATTTTGCAATCCAACGAGAGTTTGCATTGTTTTGCATATTTTATATGGCGGAAATGTAGCGCACGGCACACGGCCATGCACACACACACACACACACACACACACACACATGGTTTGGCCCACTGTGCGCCCCAAAAAAGTATGCAACACGCAAATTATGCAACACAAGGCACAAAAGACAAACTTTCACTGGCTTTGGCAGATTCGACAGGCGAAATGAAAATTAATAGGAAAACAAAAAATATGACTAACAATGCATATCAGAGAGCAGAGCTCCGCACGTCCAGTCCCAATGACCGCTGCAACAATAAAGTAATTAAAAATTCAGCTAACAATCTAAACGGAAACTGACCCCACAGCAGCCGCGCCCCCTCCCTGCTAAATTCTCGTCATAATTTATAGGCCCACCCGCTGCATGCCTGCAAAATCAGCAGCTATTAAATATTAATTTCTAGTTTTTAGTGCAAGTGCTTAACTATTTAATTGCGCTGTCAAAGCCTGCTCAATTCCCAATATTATTGTTCAGCCTAAAAACAAGTCCCACATCAGAATATATATCCAATATATATCTATTGATCTAACTGGATGAATATATCTTAACCGATCCCAATTATAAATCTATTTGATTCCAACTGTTAACAGATATATTAACAATATATTAGCTAATATATGATCAAAATCTTAGTTTGGGGCGCAAGACCGGAAGATAAATTGGTCTTTAATCTGATCGTGGGGTCTATATATATAAATATCCAGAATTAAGCATTCATTATGCATGCACGGACAACTGTAGTTAATATAATTAGTAAGGCTTTTTATAATCTTAACGATATGCATCGTGTACATCGTATGTATTAATATAATAATTTGTGGATTTGCACTTTAGTTCGAGCAAAGAACGTTCAACATGCATCTTCTTAGCCATACTTTGCTATTTCATATTTTTCAGTTCTCAATAATGTTGCCCTTATTCAGTTGCAGACATGGTGAGTTGTACTATAAACAAAACCTATTATTCAGTTATAAATTTTGCTATATAAATATTGTATCTTAAGAGTGCGGTCCGCTCACAATTATAAATACACAACTTGGATACTGTTCAAAAGTCGATTTTTGCAACAAAATCGAATCAGACGAATGTGGAATTGGCGAAACTTGTTGCGATACAGCGCCAAGAAATATGTTTGAATAAAATATTAGAGGATAAAACAGATCGGTATATACAATATTGAAAGAGTGTACGTGTTCACATAACTTACCAATTCTAAATTGAGTTATGCAGTTCACATTTTATTTATTTGTCGCCTGAAAAAAGTTATATCTTATTATTAGACATCAAAAATCATTACAAATATTTATAATAAAATGTTATGTTTAATGCTGGAAATAAAAGAGACTCGTTTAATTATATAAAATAAAAAAAAATAAATACAAAAGAAAAATGCCACACAAGTAAAATGCGGTCAAACGGGTTTGCGGCAGTCTACTCAAAAAAGTAAAACTAAATAAATAAAATAAACAAAACCAAGTCAAAAGCAAACTGGCATCAAGTTTAACGAGTGGAATGTCTTTGTATTTTGTATTTTCATTATACCCTATACCCATCTGAAGTATTTTAAATGGGGCATACTAAAGTTGTGCAAGTGTTTTGTAACACTCAAACGAAAGGATTTGCCATCAAGTTCAAATACATTTCTACAACTTTTTCGCTCTTGGAGCTTTTTCTATTACATTTATTTGCGATTCTATTTCATTGATGTCTCATTTTCTGTATATGTTCTCTTTCTTTTCTTCCACTCACCCTTTTCTCCATCTCTCATTCAAAAACTTCTCATTCCCACTGTCCCTTCCTCTTACTCTAACTTACGCCGACTTACATACAAAAAATTATGAAAATCGCATAGAAAGGCAAACTGCTCCTCATCAGTCAAAAAGTCTACCTCTCTCTCTCTCTCCGTCTGTCCCTTTCTCTGTCGGTCTCTCGGTCTTTCTCTTTTTATCTTTCTCTATTACATCCGCGGAAACATTTAAATTCATGAAAATCACATAGAAAGGCCATAAAAAGCAAACCCCTTTCGTTGTTTTGTGTCCACACTCTGATGAAAATCACAAGGAAAGGCGATATTCAGAAAGAATATAATGTGATTATGTTATTTAATGCGGTTGCTGCTAGTCAATAATTTTGGTATATATATAAATGGATATTTTATTGAGTTTAAGTAATGCTAACTTGAACATAGGGTAGCTCTTAGTCGAGATTAGCCAACTCTGGAGCACTCATACTCGTCTTTTGTTTTTGTTTTTATTAACAGACGACAGCGCGAAAATCCAAACAGGCAAAAACCAGCTCCAACAACAACAACAACAACAACAACAACAACATGAATCGATCGATCGATCGCCGGTGCGCGGAGTAAAATGATCTTTCTCAGTAGTTTCGGCGAGCGCATGGCGAATGAAGGTGACGCATTCGGGGACTTGGCTATTTTCGTTGTGATTAGTTTTTAAATTAGAATTAGAATAAAGCAAATGCTTCGATTGTAAAGAGCAAATCAAATGTTTAGTTGCACAGCGTGTGGACGTGAGGCTGAACAACCAAAAAAAAAAAAAAAAAAAACCAACAAGAAATCGTTTCTAATTAAATTGTAAGAAGTGAAAAGAATTATTTTCGACGCAAAATTGGGTCAAGTGCATAGTTTGTGTGGCACAGTGAGCAAAGAAATTGTGAAACTCAATGCAAAGTGCTGGAAAACAAGTGAAAATTGCCAGAAGAAAAACAGATGCAACAGGGCAAAAAGTGGCAGCTGCAGCAACAGTTTTAGCAGCACTGTTTTATTATACCTGCAGCAAGAGAATAAACTGAAAAAGCATCAATATTTAATACAAAGTACAAACGTTGTGTCATTAAAACACACACAGATTAACAGAACTAAAGTTAAGTTAATTAAATAAATTTATATAAACAAATATTCGATTACAGTTAGAGCAGCACTGTGCAGCCGAAACAAAGGTTCAGAACTTGGCTATTCACACCATTCACCACAGTTCAACATTTTTCCAAAGCAAGTGGCAGCGCTGTTTACTTAACATAACCCCAAGTTAACAGCGCGCCTAACAGCGAACAATAACAACAATGAATCAATGTCTGCCTGTTAACGCAAAGATGTCGAAGGCGAAGAAGGTTTTGGATGAGGCGCGCGAGACGCAAAATCGTGAATTGGACCTCGTCGACAAGGGCCTGGTGTCCTTTGAGGAGCTGCCTGGCCTATGTAAGTACCCTGCACAAAGTGTGCAACATTTTTTTGTGAAAAACAATGTATTTAAACCGAAAAATCCACGCGAGTTGCTGTGACGCCATCTGCGTGCGCCTAACAGAGCTCTGTTTGATGACGCCAGCGTCTAAAAACAAAATGCGCCAACAAAGAACTGAATAACTACACGTAACTGTATTTAATTCTCTGCTCTTGATGGTATGTCCAAAGTGTGCAGTTTAATCAACAAATTAAATACCTTTTAAGTGAATTGCAGCAGCAAACGCCCAATATTTATTTTATTTCACTTAAAAATAGCCACTGCGCGCACACTAACGTCGTCTCGCTCGCACCTATGCCCTTTGACTGCAGAGCGGCAAAACAGCTGTTATTGGTTTTGCTTTGAGGCCAGTAGAAAATTTGCTGCATCTGCAAGCACAGTTAATCTGGCTGTGACGAATTTCAAATACCCTAACTTTGCTTATATTTTGGGAGTCATAGCCAAGTCCATAAATACTGAAATTGGTTTAGAATTTTCAACAGATTGTTTCTACGACAGCTTTATAATAGGGTATTATTATTATTATGATCGAATGAAAATGTCAAGTTCGGTCAAGAACAGAAAAGTTTATCATATAAGAGATCCGACAAGACTTAAGTATCGACAGAAAGAACTTGGCACTATCAGCCAGTTGATTTTTGTGATAATAATAATAAAACATAAATAATAATATTAGTTATTCTTACTTACAGTCAACATGTCCAATATCACACGTCTGACGCTGTCGCACAACAAGATCAGCATTATTAGTCCCGGGATTGCCAATTTGCTGAATCTGGAGATACTGAACCTCTCCAATAACCAGCTGAGCGAGCTGCCAGTTTCGCTCTCCTCGATGCCCAAGCTGCGCATCCTGAATGTGTCGATCAATAGGCTGGGCAGCCTGCCGCGCGGCTTTGGCGCCTTTCCCGTGCTGGAGGTGCTCGATCTGTCCTACAACAATCTGAACGAGCAGGTGCTGCCGGGCAATTTCTTTGGGATGGAAACGCTGCGCGCCTTGTATCTGGGTGACAACGACTTCGAGTATATACCCAAGGAGCTGGGCCAGCTGAAGAATCTGCAGATACTGGGTCTGCGCGACAACGATCTGCTGGAGCTGCCACGCGAGGTGGGCGATTTGGTGCGGCTGCGCGAGCTGCACATTCAGAACAATCGGCTGCAGGTGCTGCCGCCCGAGGTGGCACAGCTCGACCTGCTCAGCAACAAGTCGGTGATGAAAATGGAGGAGAATCCCTGGGTGAATCCCATAGCTGAGCAATATCTGTTGGGCATCAGTCATGTGATCGAGTATCTCAAGACTGAAACCTACAAGATGTGAGTCTCTACATCACATTGAAATCTATGTACGTTGTTTACTCACTAGATACCCTGTTTTTTTAACCGCCCCACCAGCATCTACAATCGCCACATGCAGGGCGGACGCAGCGGCCCGCCGCCGCCCAAGGCTGACAAAAGCAAGAAGGCATCCCGAGTGCGCGCATAGTCACCAGCTGGTGGCTCCACTGTACTTGTGTTCGTCCTGTCCGGCTGCCACAGCGCAGCTGAATGTGTGTTTCTTCGTCTTAACCAAAAATATCTGTTTTTTTGTATACTAATTTCTAAGTACTTGTATTTAAATATTTAATTTTGTAAAGTGCCTTAAATGTTTGCTAACAAACGCGAATAATAAAAAATCAATAATTAAAAAGCATCTCTCATAAACTATTGGAGTGAAAAATGGAACATCCTTTTGTTTAAGCATAAGCTAACTATTTCAAAATGTATTGACTGGCATTAATATAGGATTAGCACAAGATCGAATGGCCTTATTTAAGAGGGCATTCGAGTCAGCAAAATCCATTTAAAATATTTATCTTCAATTTTGTACTCACCTAGGTATGCATAATAAACAATTTAAATAAACATTACATAGTAAAAAAAAATATTATTACACTAAAAAGAGATTTTCTTAATATTTTATAAAATAGTAGTTTTGTTCTTGTTTTTATTATCGTTTCTTATGTTCATTCTTAAGTTTTATGTGTTGTTTGTTTGTTTTTTTTTGTTTTTTTTTTTTTTTGTAGCAGTGTTTTTAGCCTTAAATTCAATTAATTAATTCATTATATTATATAATTAAATTAATAGTTAAATGTTTTTTGTTTTTGCATTTCGTCTTGCATTTTGTTTTCTTCTTGTCTTGCGATAAACTAATAGCATAGTTTGCTTTGTTGCTCAATTTAAATTTAATACATATTTTATATATCAATTTAAGTAATTACTGTTAAACATATTTCGGTTTTTTCTTTTCTTTTTCATTATTATGCAATTAAACTTGTTTTTGTTTTACTTAATTAATGCATCTTTCATTTTGTGTACTTCTTAGAGATTTTTCTATTTACAAGTTTGGTTTTTCTTGCCGTTTAGCAAGAATGAAAAATTATTCAAATTGTCAAAGAAGAAGAGTTTAAAAAGTTTGTAAAATTCATTTTCAATTTCAATGCAATAAAAAACCTATTCAAGAGAAATACTTAAAAATTGTTAAAATCGAATCGAAGCAGTCAAAACTGTTGCCACACTTAAAGTTAAAAATACATTTCAGAATTTAATTGTATTTAAGTCAGTCAAAGTACAAACATTTTATGGCCCAAACAGCAGAGCGGAAGATGCACCTGAAACGCGTAAATAGTGAAATTTCAAGAGTTTACAAGTGCGAGAATACGGACAAAAACAAAAAACATAAACTAGAAACCCTAATTAAAATACAACAAATACAAATACAAATACAGATAGTGTGTGATTAACTGTTTAGCTAAGTCTAATGGAGGATATACATGCCATATAGAGTTGAGTAACATTTAACATAATCAGTTGCTGGCTCAGAAACAGCTCATTAAACATTAAACGTAAAGCTTTAAACCTAATACAAATTGACGAACTCAATGCTAAAATTATAAATAATGCATATGCTTATTTAATTATGTGCACACATATGTGTTAATGGGAACTAAGGAATTTATTTAATTATTAAATTGCTTGCATTATTCGATTCTCGCTTGTTTTATTGCCATTTTTGCGCTTGAAGAATTATTTGAAAAAATATCTGCATTGTATTTTTGCATATAAATGACTTTGGCAACAAATTTTTTAAATTCTTTTTCAATCAATTCTAAACGAAAATAATACGTTTTTCGTTTTCCTACCTTTTTTTTTTTTTGAATTTTTTAGTTTACAAATGCAGTTTCGTCGGCTTTAATCAAAGTTTTGGCCCTTAGTACAATTAAATACAATTTAAATGCATTGCCAGCCGCTTAATTAATTTGCAGTTTTTCTTCGTGTTGTTTTTATTTTTGTTATTTATTTTTTTTGTACAAAACCATATGTTTGCGCTTTGGGAAATGTAATTAATTTTTCTTGCCTTGGCTCTTTAGTAAATGTTCGACATTTAAAGTATTTAAATATGTTTTATAAATATCTTTGTGTTGTTCTTGCGCACATTTCAATTTTGTTTTTATTCATGCTGCTTTGTAAATAAGTACGCACAATCATTATATTTATGTTTATGTATGTATACATATATATATTTCTGTTATTCACTATATATATATATATATATATATATATATGATGCAATCTGCCTTTTTAATTATTTATAATAATAATGATTTGCATTCTCATATCAATTAATTTAATCAAAAATATCGTTCATGTTTTATTTTTTTTTTACCTCTTCCTTTGTTGGTTCATATGAAATTTTTGCTTTACTCTCTGTCTGCGTTTTTTTTTTTCATCATTCAATTTATCAGCTTGTTTAAATAAAAATAATTAGCATAAAAATTACATTTACATTTAATTTGAGTTCATTTGATTTTTGTTCTTGTTGTTGTTGTTGTTGCTGTTGTTTTTGTCGCTTTGCTTTTGGCTTTTTTTGGCGCTCCGACTTTAATTTTGGTTGTCAAACTTTGCCATTGTTGGGCGCCCGCGTCGTCGACTCATACTGGCCACGCCCCAAAGCCGCATAGGCGTCGGAATAGGCGTGTTGCTGTTGTTGTTGCTCTGCCTCCTGCTGCTGCTGCTGCTGCTGCTGTTGCTGCTGGTGCAGCTCCTCCCGCGGCTGTTGCTGTTGTGGTTGTTGCTCATGCAGCGATGTCGGTCGACTATAGCTTACTTGAAGCGGCGGCGGGGGCGCGACGCCTATATAAGATACGAGTACATAGCGGGCGAGACGAGGGGATGAAAGTACACATGAAAACTTGAATTAGTTTCTTGACTTGATTGCTGTGGCGCCTGCTCAAGAGACCCCCTTGCCCCTGGGCGGCTACTTGAATTAGGCCATGTGCAGCTTATCGATTACATTAATACTCACACACACACACACACACACACACACACACATTCCAAGTTTTTTAGTAGTTTTTAGTAGTGTATTTGTTTTTATAACTTTGCAAATGAAATGCCTTCCAAAAACTACCATCAAAGTAAAGGTTTTAATATTATTTAAAATTCTTTTCATTCCACAAAGTTTTAGGCATAAGTTTTAAAGCTTTTTCATTCACACAGCTTAAAAACTTGTAGTAAAAGAACTTAATTCAAGTTATATTTGGGTGTTAATTTGGAAACATGGTACACAAAAATTATAATTGAATATAAATCAATAATAAACGCATATTCAATAATATAATTTGGAATTTTTGATATTAGTTCAATTAAACTTTTTCTAATTGTGTTAATTTCAAAAATATAGTTTGAAAATGTTTTATTTATTGCAAAATAAAACATAAATAAAAAAATTTTTTTTTTTTTTTTTTAAATTGATTGCTTGGACTTTTACTTATTTATTTTGTTAGTAGTTAGAAATATATTTCGAAAAATTGATATTTATTGTGCGCATGCAATAACAAAAACAACAACAATACAATATGCAGGGAAAACAATAAAAAAAAAAAATAGAGGGGCACAAAGGGAATAAAACAATATCGAAACATGCGTAAGGAGAACAACCAACGAAATACGGCAAGAAACAATACGATACGTGTTAGTAGAAACGATGACCAACAAATCGACAAAACTGGCAAAAATATCGATAGAAAAATAATAAACGGAAACGCCGTGTTAAAGAAAATAAATATCATACCAATTGCTTAGCGAATTCTGATGGGGGAAAGCGTTTCGTGGAATAGTGGAAAAGGCACGCAAGCGCGTGGGTTTGGAGGCATGTGCTGGGTATTTAGTATTCAATATGGCATGTTTGAGGCGTTCCAATTCCACGCGTTCCATGCCCGTTTGTTTCTTTAGTAAACAATATTGCGACGTGTCTTGGCGGCGGCTGCGGCCGTTTTGTCTTTGCTGCTGCTGCGGCTACGGCTGCTGTTGTGTTTGTTGTGTTGTTGTTGTTGTTGTTGTTGTTGCTGTTGGGCTGTGTCTTTGGCTTTGGCACTTTTGGCATTCTTGCTACCACTCGCGCCCGTCGAGGGCGTGGCCGTGGCAGCGGTGTTGTTGGTGGTGTTGTTGTTGGTACGCGATGAGCGGGACTTATTGCGCGGTGGTAATTCTAAAATTTTTGTTGTTTTTGTTGGTGTTTTTTTTTTTGAGCATTTTGAAAGAGAAACAAAAACACAAAAACGAAAAAGAAAAACGACAAATTACAAATTAAATGTGTGTTCGTGAAACAATATGGGATTCGAAACAGCAGCTCGCGCTGGACTACTTGGAAGACCCTAGGCGAGTGGGACACGCACCTTTCGGCGCATAAAACGCTTGCGGTTGTTGTTGCGGTGAGAGTACTTGTTGTTGTTGTTGTTGTTGTTGTTGTTGTTGCTGTTGCTGCTGCTGTGCATTTGCCGGCGGCAACGGCAGCGGCAGCTGAGCACGCGCCACAACGCCGCCGCTGCTGATGGCCGCCTGCACACCACCACCAATGGCACCCACGCCCGCTTGATCAGCTCCATACCCAGATCGACCGCTGGCCTGTGGGCGTCCGCTGCTGCTGGGCCGTGCGCCGCGTCCATCGCTGCGTCGCGCCTGATTGGCGGCCGAGCTGCGACTGGAATGCCCGCCTCCCGTGGGCAGTGGGATTATCGAGTGCCCGCCCTGATGCCGGTCCCATTCGTGCGGATGCGCATTATGATGATGACCACGTGTGCCACCACCGTGGCGTCCAGCAGCGGCTGCACCGCCAGCAGCGCCACCACCGCCTCCACCTCCTCGGGGATAATGCTGCGCCTCGTGCGCAGGCGGTGGGATGCTGCGTGGTCCGGCTCCGCGCTGATTCGGATGACGCTGCTAGAGTTAAATTTTAGATAAAATATTAGACAAACATATTTAGAATATATATAATATTGCCGGAGAGTCGGACTCACCATTCGGCGCAGCGTATTCATTGGCGCACGCAGCGTCTCGCTGATGCGACGGGCGCGACGCTTCTTCGGATTGGAGCTGGGCGTGTGGACGGCGCAGCATTTGATGAATGCGCCCAGGACGACAATGAACCCAACGCCAATTAGCACCACCAGATACCAGTTGCCCGTGACCCACTCGGCAACGGTGAGTAGCGTCTCGCGATTGAGCAACAGATTCTTGAGCCGCACCAGCGGCCCGTCGGCGTCGACGGCGCGACACTTGAGAAAGACATCGCAATAGCCCTGGAAGTTGTCACAGGGTGAGCCCGGCTGGAGACTGATGCCACCCGGCTGTATATTATATTCGGCGGCAAATTCGCTGGTGCTGCGACAGGTGGCCGTGTCGTTGCCATCCTGGCAGGCCAGCTCGCACAGCTTCCGCTTGTCCACGTGCGGCAGCATGGACGAGGTAAGGAAGCATTTGGTCATATTCCACAGCAGGCAGGGTGACCCGCTGCACTCGCCGCGTATGCACAGGGCGGTGCCATTGTTGCACATGGTCTTGTCATCGCGATGCCGCGGCTCCGGACACTCGGCGGTGGTGCCATTGCATGTGCTCGACCAGCTGCACTCCGTCTCCTCCTTGCACTTCTGGTGATAGTGCGTGGGCACGAACGCGCACGAGTTGGCCAGGCAGCAGGGTCCCTGCGAGGGTGAGCACTGCGTCTTGGCGCGACGCTTGCAGCCCTTGGCGCTGGAGTTCAGCGACTGATCGTATTCGCTGATCAGACGCGGATAGCAGCAGTTGTCCTTGCACTCCTCCTCGTTGAAACCACAGTCGCACTCCTCGCCAGACTCCACAATCTTGTTGCCACAGAAGGCGCCCTCCGAGGCCTTAAAGCAGTCGCGTTTCGTATTGCCCACTAGCACGTCCAGTACATTGGAAATGTTGCGTATAGAACACGGTGAGAACTTCGAATTGTTTGGACGATCACCTGAGGTGGCGCTGGCAAACATAATATAGTTGCCATTTAGACCACCAGGACGGCATTCTTGCGGGTAGTCGTGCTGTAAGCAATCGAATGGGTTAATTTAGGTATTCGGAACGATGGAATGGAACAACCAATCGACATTAAACAAGTTTTTGAATAAAACAACAAATTGAAAGCAATTAATTTAAGTTACGGGTCATTAACACAAATTGTGGAACGAGGAAATGGAACACGAAATTCGTTGAGCAAAATAAAAGAAGATATCGTCGTTTAGTGAGTAAAATTTGGGTAGAACTGCGGAATGGAACACGAAATTTCTGCTCAACTGTGCAAAATCCAAATGAGGATTGCAAATTATGATGTTGGGTCTAACTGAGACAATGGAAATAAATATATTATTAAATAAAATAGCTAAAAAAGCAATTTAAATTAATACATATAGAATATATGCTCAATTATTCTCTAGTGAGAGAAGGCATAACTCCCTTCACTCCCCCTCCACACCATTCGTTTACTCACCGGAGATCCAAAATTGTGTCCAATTTCATGGGCAAGTGTCAGCTGCGATACTTTTGGTGGCACGCGACTGTTGTAGTTGACAAAGGTGATGATGCCCGTGTTCAAGGAGCGCTTGGTGCTCTGGTATTGACCACCCACAGTCTCCGTGTAGGTCTTGTACTTCTCGCAGATGCCGCCGGAGGCGCCTGATGCACTGGCCACCCAGGCCAGGCCCAAAGTACCGCCCGTAAAATCTCTGCATGGGCAGAAGTTTAAGTTAACATTCAAGCTAAATATATTGTTTTGTTGTTAATCACCTGTAGGTAAATACATAGGCTAGACAAAAGTCTGAGTGATCCTCTAGCGAGTGGAGATTCAAAAAGTTCGATACGTCCATGTGCTCATTGCAAAATGCATTGTGCGGGCCATTGTAGGCATTACGACAGGCAGAATCGTCGTCGATTTTAATGCGTTGCACCTGGAAAGAAGCGTTGTCAGAAAACAGCGGAAAAATAGTTAGAATTTTGAAATAGACTGTGAAAAATGGAAAGAAAAAAAAAAACATTTATGTTAAGTCTAGCTAATATTGTCTAAATTTAAAAATATTTCTGTATCTACATATTTTCAATTTCAGTTTATTTTGTGAAACGATTCCTAAGCAATTTAAAACTTTATGGGCGACTTATCAGCTGAGTCTACGAGATTTTGGAAAACAGAGCCTGAGCTTAAGGAAATTATTTGAAATTTAAGTGTTTCAATTGCAGTCGTATACAACTTAGAATCATTTCACAACGAGTCTCCTTTATTTTACAAAACAAAAAAAAAATTGTTTTAAGTTTGGTACTTTGACTCAAATTGAAGACCTAATAAAAGAGGAAACAGCTTTAAACATTTGTTTAGGTCTTTAATTTAAGCTCTAGCTACAATTCCAGGTCGTTTCACTAGTTTCACAGAATTTCAATCCTTTTTGGAGAACTCTGCTTTAAGATGGGGTTTAATAAATTCATCCCAACTCGACTCAACTGCCAGCGACTCGTTTCTGGCATAATTATTGGGGCTGTTTGTGCTTAAACGTTTCTCTTTGCAGCCGCGTCGAGGTACTGGGTCCTGGGACACGGCCTTTGTTCGGTGCTCATTGTGGGAAGGATGGAGCCAACGCTGTTGGCAATTGCCAACCACAGGGGGCGCTGCTGTGCACTCACCTCAAAGCGTATGTTGCGATGCTCGGTGCGTCCGTCGAACTTTGTGTTGCGGTAAATGTAATTAACGGCCGTCACATGATGTGCAATCAGCGATGTGATTTCCTCACGGGTTTTCACGTCCACCTCGTACTTGCGGCCGCGATCGTGCTGCAGGGAAAGAGCGAGAAGAATATTGCAAAATTAATTAACAAAAAAAAAAATAACTTAAAATAAAAAGCATTCGACTTTTAGGCGCGCGCGCGTAATAAAAATCTCAACCGCAATGCCACTGCGCTTGACATTTCTAGCAAACAGGCTGTCGCAGGATGGGCGTGGCAGACAAAGCAGGCAGACAAACAAACAACCTCCCGACCCCATGCCAAGATTGCCCACACCAGAGCAGAGCCCCCCTCACACACACACGCACACACACACACACGCGCGCGCACATACACAACAAGCACTCTTCAAATATATTTGTATAAAAATGCAAATTCAGCTAAAAACCCGTCGAATATTTTTCAGAAGTTTATTCGTTTTTATACGCGCGCGTCGAGCGGGTGGCTTTGCGGGATTCCGTGAGCTTGGGCCGGGATGGAGGTGGAGCTGGGGCAGAGGGTCTATCATCGCACCGCTAACGGCAGTTTTTGTTCCAAAATCAAAGCGCCGCTGGGCTCAGTGACAACATCGAGTGAGAGAGAGAGAGATTATACTAAGGTTGTGGGCCAACAAATACCCTGTAAAATGTAGTTTGAATAACTAAATATGTGGAACAAAAGGACAGCAGAAATGTTTCCAAACTTTATAAATTTAAAACTTTTGAATGGGACGAAAGCAAGTTTCAAGGTCTCTTGCCCAAAATGAGCATACCCTACGAACTGCACCAATAGAGTATAGAAAACGCGTCACGAACGCAGCGGCGAACGAAACAAATGCGCGAATTATGCAAAACTCATTGCAAATAAACAGACAAAAAAAAAAAGAGAGAGAGAGAAGAGAGAAACGGACTGAGCGTATCGCAAGGGGGTCGGGGGCTGCAGGACGACCCTGACGAGGATGTTGACGTCGACAACATCGCGAACAATGCGAAAAAATGAACGTAAACATTGAGTGCGGCAAAAGAATTGCTTGCGAACGAGAAAGCAAAGGGAACGAGAAATGACTGAAAAGCAAAACAGAGATGCAGAGAGGAAGCTCGTGAGCCATAACGGTTGATTGCATGCGCTGTAGAAACCGAAGCAGGTCAGCTGATTGGTTGATTGCTTTGAAGACGCCGCAAAGCAGGCGACACCCGGGCAAATTTAAAGGTAGGAAATAACTCTACTGCAAAATAAAATAACCACTTGAGCGCCCTATTTAGAAACTGGGGATGCTGTCAAAGTAGGCAAGTGGTTAAGAGCTGCTTGAATTATGCTCTAAATGATTTGATGTGTGCTGAACTCTCGAGGTTATTGTCAACTCGGAATAATAATTATATGAAAAATAATTAAGTTAAGCCTGAATTTATTCTGAATAGAGATCAAGAGAACTAATCTTTGAGTATTGCGAGTATCAACCTTTAATTTCCCTACAATATTTTTGAATTTTCATATTATTTTGAACGAAAATTGTTTCAAATGACTTTTTAGTTGACTTATTATTAAGGTTAGTAGCTCAGCTATGCGACAGAAATCATTTTGCTTATATGATAAAAATAAGGAAAGCATTTGGTCTAAGAAATATGTATAAGTAACGTCGAGCTATTAAATTTACGACCAACTCTAGTATTATATTGATTAGTGCCTCCGAAAATACGGTCACACAATCTTTTTAAGCATAAACCAAAGATTTAAAAAATCTCCGTTGTGCAGTTTTTCCATTAAGATTCCTTAATCTTGAAAGCTGACTAACTTTTGCTTAACTTTCAGCTTAACCCAACTTTTCGCAACCTAACCTAACTTTCAGCCAACTAAAGAACAATTTTCACTCAACGTAGCGCATCACTCAATTTCTTTGCATTCGCGTTAAACAAAAAATGGCGTCTGACTGACTACGCGCGCATATACCTCGCAATCCACCTCCCATTTAGCCCCAACCAACGGCTTCGTTATTTGCCGCACCATGGAAAAAAGCGTACTTCAGGCCAGGCCTTTTGTTTTATGCGCAAACCCAAAAGTGAAGCGTTCGCTCGTAAAAAATTGCAAAATTCATGGATTTTGTTTTGTGTTCTTTAAGCCACAATTCCCGCAGCCCACACGCCAGCTGCTGCTGCCGCTGCTACTGCAGCCGCTTCGCTTTTAATTTGGCGCACGAGCTGACAGGCGCAGTCTCCTGCACTTGCCGTTTGCCAGTTCGCAATTCCCCGTTCCCCTTTTCCCGTTCCCGCCCAGTTGATAGCCAGACTTACATCGGCGATACCCTCGCGTATGTGGCGCCAAATCAATGGATCTGTTTGTATATACAGCGAGCAGGTATTTTTGTTATCCTCACGGCCACGTCCGGGGCCCGCCGAGCTGGTCGAACCGCTGGCATTGGAGCCACTGCCGGCATTGTTGCCGCCAGTGGCGCGACGCACACGCTCGTGGACCAGCTCATGCCAATCGGCGACATTGGCCGTAGAGCCCAATCGACGACCGGTCTCCGGATCATAGAATGCACCATCGGCAAAGTTTGCCTCCTTTGTATACTTCTGATGTGGAAATTTGAAATCATCATCGCCGCTGGCGTATTTCTTGGGAGGATGTGGCTGTTGTTGTTGTTGCTGTTGTTGTTGTTGTTGTTGCTGCTGTGGCTGTTGTTGGGGACCAGCAGCCTTTTTGTGCTGCTGCTTCCGGTGCAGCTTTTGGACATCCTTTGACATGGGCACAGGCAGCTCCTCAACCGCTGAATTTTGTATGTTCTCCATCCACTGCGAGACCTCCTCCGTAATGCCGCAGCCGCCCACATTACCTGCAAAATACAATAAAAAAAAAAGGAAAGAAATGTTCAAGTTGATGTTGAGTTGAAGTTGAGCTGAGAGTAGACTTAAAAAATATAAAAATAAAGAATTTGTGGCACGTTTTCATTTTAAGCAAATTAATGCTGATGCAGCCGCAAAGGCAACAACATTTCAGTCTCACCTACTCTGGACCAGAGCCAAATAATTGTATTCAAAAAGAAAAAATTTAAAAAAAAAAAACACTTTAAAACAAAAAAAAAAAAAAGAACAAGTAGCGCATTGCATGGTAAAATTATTTATGGCGCACAAAATGAAAACCACGAAAATGTAATTAAAGCGCAACGCACACAGACAGAGAGACGGCGAGGGCGGGCGGTAAGAGTAGCCGAGTTAAAAGCAACAAAAATAAAAAAATTAAATAAAAAAAATTAAATAAAATAAACAAAAAATTTTAATGCAAATGCCAAAGTCAAATGTTTGATGGAAAAACAAAAAGAATTATATGAATTATAAAAGTGTTGCATACTTTTAGCGGCTGCTGCACTTTAAATGCATCCACGGCATGCATGTAAACAATTCGTACTTTATTTATATAATATATTTAATCGCTGCACTTTAAACGCATTTTCTTTTCGGCTAGCGGAAACAGTTAATAGCCCCGAGTCCGGTAATGAAAATTTATTGTTTTATTGTTTAAACACTGTGCGGTTCCACTTTACTTTTGTCGGTCTTTTTATTTATTTACTTTTTTTAATTTCTTTTATCTTGACGCGCTTTGCACGCTCCGTTCTCCGTTGTGCCCACAGCTGCAATTGTCAAGCCAGGCGCTCAGGATTTTTATTTTTTCAAATAGCTGCCCGCATTTTTATGGTTACAGCAATTTACATTCATTTTACATATCTTGCCTGCAATATGGGCGCACTGTTCGTTCTGGGGCAGTAAGGCAATGTACAAAGCCGCTTTAAGTGAATAAAATATACAGCAAAAAAATATTTAGCCAGACACCCTTAGGCGGTAAGTACTGTAAGTACTGTGGTACAACTGAATTGTTTACAAGAGGGTAGATATCAATTGTGACCTTCACTCACCTCAAATATATATATTTGATCTATTTTCTTTATATTTATAACTCTTATCAAAATGTTTAAATCAATAATATTTGTATTATTTTAAATTCACAAATAAAAGTCAATGTATAGTTTTTACGCCATACCAATTTTTGTTCAAAAGAAATATGGCAAAATTTATTCCATACATTTTATCGCTTAAAATTCATTGCTGAAAAATATAATTTTATTTGGCAACCATTTCCATTCGTAAAAGCATATTAAAACAGCACTTTAAAATGTTCTCTTTGACTTTTTGCATGGATGCATTAAAAGAAAATAATATTAATATTAATATTAAGGTACGTACTCAAATCTGAGTTCGTTTGACTTTAAGAGACATAATCGAAAGTGCGCTATGCTAATAAAAGCTTCTTCTGGCTGGGACAACATTATGAAGTTCGTGCACTTTTCATTAAAAGTTTTCATTATTCTTGGTTTATACTTTAATTCCTTATCCAATGCTGGCCAGCTTCAACGAACCGTTAAAACTCATAACAGGCCACCCAGTTTTACAGTGGGCCACTACTCACAGTATATTTTCCCAACTCCCTAGTACGTATTCGAATGGGATTTCGGACCCGGGGCCATAGTGTGTACACACTGGCAACATTGCAATTTTCAGCTGTGCCATAAATTTTTATTTGGCTGACTGCTATTGTGTCAAGTTGGTCGCAAAAGTGGGATGAGGGGGCGGCTTTATAGCTGCTGCTGCTGCTGCTGCCATTATCATTATGCTTTTACACTGTTTCTCCACCTGCTCTGCTCTGCTCTGCAATGCTCTGCCCTTTCCTTCCATTCCAACGCACAATGCATTGTTTGTCTTTATTATTTCTTTGCGTAGAGTCCACAGTGTTGCCAAACTTCGGCAGGGACACTGTATGGCAACGCCGCAACAACAAAACGCGACCTATACCAAAGCGCAAATTGTACGGCAGGTGCTAAAGAGCAGGGGTGGACCGGGGCAATCAAGGGGTAGCAACAGCTGAAGCAGCCACTAAATACATAACACTCGACAAGCCAAGAATCCGACAGCGCGCAGTTTCCGCATTTTCTTTTCCGCTGCATTTCCAACAGTCGCACAGTCCCTTTACCGTCCCTTCTTACCTACCTCCTTGGGGTATAATTTGCATTTCAAAGGCATCCCTTAACTCTCTGTCTATCTTTATGCCCTATAAGCGAAACTGCTGTACAGGGTATGCGCGGTTATTAAATTATTGCAATGGCTGATGAAACCATTTCGAGCATATCATTAGAATAATGATTGATTTGAGGGTGGAGTGATAAATATAAAAGAACAAACTTAGATAAGCCCTTATTAAAAAGTAAAAATCGTAAAATTAACTAAAATTTGGGTTTGTTTCTTATGCTAAGGATAATTGATAATGATAATGATAATGACAATGATAATGATGATAATTATAATGATAGTGATGGTGATAATAAAAGTGATGGTATTAATGATAACGATAATGATAAAGACAATATTAATGATAATGATAACGATAGGGATAATGTTAATATTTGTACTGATAGTGACAGTGATTATGATAATTATATTAAAAATTATAGTAAGAATGATAATAAGCTGAGTAACAAATAGAGATCGATATAGATATGGAATTTAAAAATATAATGATCATATTCAGATAAAATTAGTCATATCACGGTAGATAAAATGATAATTATTTCATTCAACCCATTTTACAGGGCTTCTCGTAGTCGTGCAGTATTTGTATTAGATTATACCAACTGTGTGCTCGCTGTATAGCTCTTTGTGCACCGCGGCATTTCCATTTTAAGAAGGGTTTAGGGGTTTCTGGTTTAAGAGCTGCTCGCTCATCTTACTCCAATGACCCGTTTTTATTTCGTTTTTTCTGCTTTTTTTTACTCCTTTTTTAATGTGTGTGTGTATGTGTGTGTGTGTTGTAGCGCCTTTACTTTCTTTTGGTTGGTTTTTTAGGACAGCTTTGTTGTTGTAGCCCGTCCATCACTCTTTGCGACTCCCGCCCGCTGTTGCGCTGTGCTCTTTGGTAAGGGCTTGCATTCAATCGTGCTTATCTGATGTGTTTGCCTGGACGCAGGCAGCCTTTGCCCAAGATGTTGTCTGATTTTCGGTCTTTATGCTGTGTGCTGCTTTGAGAGCGCCACTCGAGTTGGTAGCTGTCCGCCCTGCTCACGTTATCCTGTCTGTCTGTCTGTGTGTGTGTGTGTGTGTGTGTGTGACATTTTGTATTTGAAGTTATCGGTGTGTGTGTGTGTGTGTGTGTGTGTGTGTGTGTGTGGGGGCCATTTCAATCAACAGCTGTTGGCGCAGTTTTCTTCACATTTCATTTTTCCAATTTCTCTTTCTCTCGCCGGCTGCCACTCAAGCGTTTACTCTTTGTGCCTTTTCGTTGGCACGAGCACACACATACCCTGGTGCCGCCATACACACACACACACACACACACACACACACACACAGCCAGCTGGAGGAGCTAACCCTGCCGGCCCATCCAGCCCAATCCTTAACCGACACTTCAATCATATTTTGCTGCAGCGTCGCGACGCTCTGAGATTTCTTCACATAGATTAAAGTGCACTTTGGTGTTATCTTTGCCTGCAGTCGCTTCGACACCCAATTCAAGCGCCCTACTCCATACACAATCCCTATGCCCCTCTAGGCCCCACTTTCAAACCGAAGAAACTTGCACTTGTACAAGATTTTTTTAGTCTGTGCCTTCAGCTTTCGTTTCTTGTTGCTCCAATTGCACAAAAGCCACGCGCTCGACTTATGAATTTTACAACTTCCCGTTGCCAGCTCAGGCAAGCTTAGGGTTTGTCCCACCCCTAACATGCTACTGCCAGGGGATTTCCAGCACAACAGCAGCAATAGCAACAGCGTCAGTCAGAGACAAACGGCGCTCAGACATGCAAGCGCCTTTTCTAGAGGGGGAGTCGGTCGGACTTTTGACCCCCGCCTGCTTTGCCCCATTCGGAGCCATTCAGGCCACTTGTGACCTCTGCAAAAGATGCGCAGCAAAAATGAAAAATAATCCCAAATTCAATTGCAAATGAAATTGAGGGCGAAAAACGCCCACAATGCCCTTACAAAGCGCAAAGAAAGAAGAAGAAATTCGCCCGCATACTATACAAGAAATCCCTACAGGCCAAAAACAGACGTTTTTTGCAATTTCGACGCTTTAAACATGTAAAGAACGCGTTGAGCCAACAACAAGTAGCTCGGTGAACACGAAGAGGGACCCACAACTTCAATACCCATTAAATTATGTATTCTTAGGAATTTCTATTTTCTCAACATGTTTCAGAGTGCAGCAAAATGATAGATAGATATTTGCCGATTTACAAATAGGGAACGCGAATGCTTTGAAAAATTAATGTCATTCGTATAAATATAAGTTAAATGACTAGGAAAGGAAAGAAGAAAGTTTCCTTTCGATCTTATCATAGCGTTAAGAAATGCCTAGCCTTAAAGATTAATATAACGATGTGCTCTTGACTTGAACCCATTCATTAAAAACACACATACATTATGTTAAAGAGTAAAATGTTGCTTATTTTTGTTCTCACAAGAGAGCAAGTATTTTGCCATTCCTCTTTGTGTTGTCTTCGCAAATGTTGTACAGGCTGCGCTGCTCGAAGTGTGATCTAAGCGAAATAGCAATAACATTTTAAGTTAATAATTAATTTCGCCAAAATGAGTATTTCGCGATTACTGACAGAAAAATTCGTCATGTTGCTTGACAAGCTGCTTATTTCCATTTCTCAGAAGGTTTTGAATATATAAAATAAAAGTTTAATAGCTTACAAGAGGGCGTCACATGTAGCTAATGCCACAAGCAAAGTTCGAGGGCGTGCACATGAACTGGGCGTGGCACTTGAGTACATATGTAGAGCGCTTA